AAATTTATAGAGCTATTTGCAATTGGCAACACACCAAGTGACAGTCAAGTAACATTGACAACAATTATTTTACCCAAATGAATTAAAAAAATTTGTAAAGTTCAGCATAATGCTGTCAGTTTCAATCTCTCTTTTTCAAGTTTGCCCTTAATTTGAAGCACATGATGCTTCTTTCACAGACTCCCCAGTAAAACACAAGCCAATGTTCTACAGCACTCAAGCAAAATCAAATTGAGCTGAGCTAATTTCCTCAGGCGAAACACAAAATTATGTATGATAAAAAAAAATTGCTTAAAATTTTATATTGAATTATTGGGATATATTGCTCACTCTGAAAACAGCATAATAATTTCCTCAGGATGTGTGGCTATTCACTACTGTCTGCAGTATGTGTCTTTTCTAATTTTTCAAACAGAAGTGAAAGGAAGGTCCCTGAAGAACAGAGAAACACCCAGGAGCTCAGTGTTATAACAGCTTAAGTGGTTTAAGTGAATGGCCTAGAATCCTTCTCCGTAACTTATGACTTCTTTCAGTAGTATATAAAAGACAGAGCAGGGGCTTTCCTTCAAAATACACCAGTAAGATTCTCATCCGAAGATAACTTAATTTGAAAACATTTGCTAAGAACCACATAAATAAGTAGAAAGAGCTTACTATTTTATTTTGCATTACATTCCTTAATTGCTCATCAAGAACATTGGCAACTAAAAATAGCATGACATTACCTTGACAAAACAATCTCCCTGATGACAAATCAATTCTAGGAAAATGACAGCACAACAATGCCTGGGATCACATTTTTAATTAAATAAAAAGGATTTAATTTTAATAAAAAGGATTTTGTGTGAGACTACTAACTTCTCAAAGAAAAAAATATGAGTATACTGTTTCAAGTAACCTTACTTTTTAGACAAATTTTAATACTCCACTTCAGTTTTATCTCTTATACTGATTGCATTATGAAAGGATTTGGTTGAACTGCATACCTCATTTACTAAAGTCGACAATCTTAATAATTTATCTTCTAGATAATGATATCTTTCTATTACTTCTTGTCTCATTGTTACCTAATAGTTTTTATCAAAGTCTATCTAGGAGTAGTAAGTTGTAGCTACTTGCCCCAGAAAAGAGAAAATTGGTGACATGCTAGCAAGTCATATGAATACTACTACTCTTTCCATGTTGACATTGGACTGACAAATGGAAATTAATAAGGTTAGTGAAAAGTATATCAGCAGCATAAAACCTTTTCATTTATAAAATACAGATAAACACTGGAGTACATTCTTTGGAGAGATGGTGAATCTCTGAATTTTAAAACAGTAAATACTTTTCAGCCTGGCTAATATGGACCACTTACAGTCCTTGCATTTGCATTAATCAACAAAATGATCTTTAAGATATTTCTTAAATTTCCCCTTTTTTTGGGAGAGGGCCTACAAACCACAGAACTCTTAGATAAGCGCCTGTTTGAATAAATTTATCTATAGCTACTCTTACCTTGCAGCAGGAATGAATTCCTGAGATTCCTTGTTCTATTTGTTTGCAGCTGCCATCTCTTAAAGCTACCTAACAGTTCTTTTCACATTTACTGTCCACTTTCCTCACTCAGTTTTCAACAGCCCACCATCATCATGCATTTCCAGCTCCAACTACTCCTCCATCTCAGTGCCTTTGATTATTCTCTAGATATTGTCATCCAACTTTTAAAATTCTCCCTCATCTGACTGAATTATTTCAAAAAATATATACAATGAACAAAATTAAAATGTTCTCCATCTATCCTCTTTGATTAGAAATTAATATTTTTCTTTTGGATATTAGCAAAGAACAGAACTCTAATTTTCTGTTTTATATGCATAACTGATTCCTACAGATGATTTTTAATGTACTTTCCATACATTTCTTGCTAGCTTACATACTGCAACTTATTAAAAAAATACTGTTGTCCTATGAAATTTAGTCTTATTTCAACCATTCTAACTGAAAATTACAAGAGTACCAGAAAAACTGGAGTGTAAAATATTTACAGTTCATTCATCTGTCTGTCATTTCTAGAATTCCCTCCTGTGATATTGTGATGAAAAATATCTGGCTACTCTCTAGTTTTACTGAGTAGAAATAAACTTCAGCCTAAAGTATCTTATTTGGCTTTAACAACAGTGAATAATGTAAATGAGCAATGTAAGTCAGAAGTATTGCAAAGTGCTAGAAAATTGACATTACATTCCTGGATCAGCTTCTTTGGTCAGGCTATCTAACAGCATGATCCAAATCTATTAGTAACACAATAAAACCTAGTCACATTGTGTTAAAAGTAATCCTAAAGCAGACCTAATACGCAGTTACACCAGGCAGGATATATTTTTTCCTATTTCAAATGAAGGCATAACATGAGCCATGTAAATTCCTTCCAAAAATCTAAACAAAATTGAAAGATATTTTAGTCCCAAACAAATTTTCATAATTTCAGACTCTCCCTCTTGCTCCTCTTGAGGACCTCTTAGCCTTACCTACCCCATCAGCATAAAGGTTTATTGGAGACCCTTGCTCAATTAACCCCTAAGGCACATTTAGGGTACCTCAGGTCATGCAGATCAGCTGCTCCCCTTGCAAACTATGAGATGTGTAGTATATCCTTGTAACCTGCCACAAGGAAGCCTGTATTTGTGTACTTGTTACATTTTCCTAGCAATACTGAACAGATGACTTGAAGTAAAAAACCTTCCAACCACCAAGAGTAACCATTCATGATGGCTTTGATTATACCCTGAGCATTACAGTAGAGCTGTTTAAATTCCTCTGCCTTGAACCAGCTCTGGGCACAATCAAGGCCACATTCACTCCTAGCATACATTAACAGTCATGAAAATCCCTTCTACCAGTTTCCTTTTTTTTTTTAACCTAGACCCCTGAAGAGTCTTAATTGCATGTACCTTTAACCAGTGAAACACATTATACATTTCTCTACCCATAAACTCCTCTGCTGTGGTTTAATTTCCACATCTACATAACTGCAATCTAGTAAATTTTCCTTCTCAGAAAAGCCTGTGTCACAGCTGTTGCAGCTGGGAGAGCTGATTATTTACCACCACTGGCTTAAGTGCAACTACCATATTCTTAAGGCAAAATGCTGATGCTATGAAAGACTCACTGAATAGCCACACTTACTTTGCAAAATAATAGAAGTTTTAAAAAAGAACAAATTAAGAAAATACTTAAAACTTTCAGAAAAAATTATCCTGAAGCCTGAGTGACAGTCTCACCCAGTGGTTTTTCTAAATGCGAAAGACAAGGCTGCTTTTAGGCAGATTAATGACACTATGCCTTTCTTTTACAGCAGTAACTTTATCTCCGTTAACAAATGGAATAAGAAACTGCCTACAGCTGTAGAAGTTGCAAAATCAATTATGAGAATCCTGATATAAAAGTACTTTACATCAATATAAGAAGAGGATTATAGTAGAGTTTAAAATTAATACATAGTGGCCTTTTTTACCTAACACCTCTCAAAATGGCTTGCACTGTAACATCCACCACCTTTGTATCCTGGCTGCTGTGCACAAGAGAACAGGTGTGCAGCTGAACTTACACACTGAGCTACTGGGAAGTCAAAAGGACTGGTAAAATAATCCCATTTGCATTGAGAGCAGAAAGAATTTCATGTTACTGTGTAGATAACATATCAGACCCGGTTTAGAGTACTAACAGAACTTTCCTTCTTTGTAATGGGAAAAAAAAAAAAACCCTGCCATTACATATGGACTTCAAGAATAATATAAAAAATTAAATCCTAGGTAATCCTGAATAACATCCATTCTTAGGGAAGCATAGTATCAGCATGTGGGTGGCATGACAACAGCTGTAGAAATTACTTCTCTTTTGTACTACTTAAAAATATTGTATGTATTCATTAAGTTACCTGCCTAAACATACACACTAAGAGCATATTTTCCTTTATATATATCTGTTTTCTATATGACCACTTTTCAAATAACATGACATTCTATATTATAGGCCCTCAAAGTTAAACTTATACAACCTATTCATCAAGAAGAATATTAACTTGAAATCTGTGCATTAATTCTGACACCAAAGGGTGCACAAATTGTAACTTCCAAGCATACACTAAACATTTGCACTGATCAACAGCACTAGAAAAATTGTGCTCACACACAATGTTTCAAGTCACTTCCCAGACTGCTGTTTCATCATTTTATCAGGAAAGAATAGGATAAAAATTCAATCATGTCTTATACCGTGCTGATGAAAGGTTCATTTGAATACATTTAAGAACATATGAATAACAGGTTGGTTAGAATTGTCACAATGTCATTTGTAAAGGAAATTTCAAGTAGGGTTACAACTCTTCATATGGAATACCACCATGTGTTTTGTAAATCAATAAATTTTAAATTATTTTGCAGGTTATTTATCATTTAAAATCCCAAAAACCTATTGAAGTTAAAACGTATCCTAAATTCTGAATTTCAAGAATATATTATTTACAATCTTACCTCTTTTCACTGTCACCTGCTGCTGAAGTTGACAGCAGGGAAAGGTTTGTGTTTCTGATACTACTGGCACCACTCAGTCCTTGTCACAAGAGGGTAGTTAGTACATCCTTTCCTCCTCACATCTTGACCACACCAAAATTGTCCCTCTAGTCAATAAACTACTGTAATATGCTGGAAATTTTAAATACATAGACCTGATACATATTGTGCCCTATTCATGCTATAATAGCTTAACTAAAGTTAGTGATAAGCATAATTTACTTTTGCCCAAACTTTCTAATGTTATGGTTTTGTTTTTAATTCCACTTCATGCACTTAATGCTCTAAACTGCATTCAGTGTATACATCATTATGTAAACACATTGGCATGCACAGGCAATACAAGAATAGATTATAATTAATCCCATAGACAACCAAAAAGGTGAAGTTGCATCATGCAATGAAACCAGCTTGGCCTGGGCTGCCATGCAGAAAAAAACCTACATCAATGAGTCTGCTGTACGGCTCCTAGGTAAGAGTTGATATGAAAGAGGTGAGTTATTTCAGCAATGAAGTCACAGGCTGAGAATGTTTATACTACTGTAAACAAAATACTGTACATAGCACCAGTATTACTCAGGGATGGGGGAGAAGATGCTTGGAAAGGAGGACAAAAAGGATGAGAAACAAGAAGAAGGAGGAGGAATTATAAATTACAGTAACCAGTCTGAAATCCAATTGGTTCTTTTAAATAAGCATTTGTTATTTCATTTGAAATAATTTCACTTGAGCTTTCAAAGCAAACCTGACTTTTCAGTATATTTTGAAGAAAAAAAGATGAAATAATGAGATACAGAGCAACTTCAAAATGTCAAATGTGTTCAATCATTGATGAATAACTAAAGATCATAAAAACACAGATATGCAGAGGTGAATTTTCAATGCAGTGCACAGGATCCAAAAACACAAGCTTCACTGATTTGAATGCATAATCAACCAAACTAAATGAATATGGACAGTAAAAAGGATGCATTGATATGGGTGATTTATTTGGTCACCTTTTGCTGCTTTTCTAGTAAAAGACATCTCTGCTGAATAAAGCAGTTTTTTTTCAGAACTTGAGTTGAATTGCTTTTACCTTACTCACCTTCACAGTTGCACTGAACACAACAACATGACTGGAATTACAGAGTGACCACCTAGCCTGTTCTAAATCATGTACATTGGGCACAGTACTGCATAGCCTCATTCCAGAGAGCTCAGAAAGACCTAATTGAGCAGGTAATTTATTTTATTGTAGCATTCACTTGAGGTACTACCCTGTGTTGTAGCATTGTAACATATTATTATGTGTGTTCCATTACAAAAGGATTTGTTCCATGTTTTTCAATAAGTATATTGTTTTCAAGCAATTTTTCTTAATTACCCCTAAATGTATATGCTCACAAATATATAAACTACTTCTGCAGGATAGCTATTCACACAACATCAAAAAAGAGCTTTAAAAAGAAAACTAAATTTCACTTACTGTATAAGATTTTTTAATAGAATCTATTATCCATTTGCAGTACAATTACTTTTGCTATCTTTGTTTTTATATACTAGCACTTTGTGAAATAATAGTTTTTTCATTGTTAAATTGTCATAGAAACTTAGATTAAAATAAAATCAAATAATTGACAGTAGAAATAATTTTCTGGCCTCTTGAAATGTCTTAGAATATTTGCAGAGAAACTGGTCAATATATTTGTAATTTGACAGGTAAAAAAAATTCTATATTTTTCATTCCAGATATAAAACTTCCAATTGTACTACTCTTACATAGTGAAATTCACATTCTTTTTCCAGACAAACACTTTTAACTTTTTCAAAGAAACAGAACTTGCAGTCGAGACTCATACCACTTTTGGCCACTGTGTGCTATTTAACAAGGCTAGCAGAATCTTTCATTAGTTGCTTATTAAACATGTGAATATCTTCTTGGGTGTACAGATATGCCCTTACAAACTGCTGCACAGTGCATGCAAATGTTATCACCTGAGAAGGAGGTTACTTAGTCAAGAGCAATTAAAGCGCTGCTGACAAAGCCAGAAACCCAGTAAATTGTTTAATGCAAGCAGATGAGGAGCCCAAAAATTTTGGAACTCGCAGACTTCCAAAGTGTACCATTCAAATAGCTCCAGTACAGTCAGGAATTGTGGCATACACAGTACGTACTATGACATATATGTATGTATCACACAAATGATACATACTATATATGGACACTTTCCTATTGCTGTGGAAATAGAAGACTCTTTCTTATGCAACTTGAAAAGCATTGACTCAGCAAGAAGATGAAAAGCAGTCCTTAATTTTTTTCTCAATAAAAACAATACAGCAGTCATCTTTCATTTAGTTATGATAGAGAAATCCTTGAGATTCACACAGAACACAAAGCTGGTCTGAGTTCTACAATGTCATCACTGTGAATATGACCATAACATAGTAAACACAAAAGGAGAAGAATCATCCTTGGTATCTGCTACTAATGCAGCAGAGCATGATAGAAGCTCCAAGTGTAAGGATCTCCAATCATCAGGTTACATTACAGTTTAGCATACATTTACTCAACAGTTTGTCCTACACTGATTTTTAGCTATAAAACCAGCTCATTTGGAGATTTAACTATTAGGTGTAAGAAGAGATTCATCTGTTTTCAGATTGCAGCTCAGAACCAACCTCATGTTAGAAAGGTTTCCCTGCTTCAGCTGGAGAGAACCTATCAAACTCATTTATATCCTAACACTCTACAATAGCAGGAATTTCTCTCTTTTGCTGTAGCCAAAGGCCATAACAAACTCTACATAGTTCATATAAGTCTGTTGCAAATTATAAAACCTAATCATTATGAAGGATAGTGTACTATTTAAAATAAATGACCAGAACTATCAAGTGTAACTAAATTTCTGGGATATTTAGCCCTGGAGTCAATTCCTTCCAATCCCTGAACATAAAACGCCTTTTGATAAACCAACTACTGGGAAAGTTTAGTTTGACAAAACAACGGATCCAATTCCTAGTTGTAGCTTTCTGTTTTGAGGACTTGGTTTCACTTAACGAGGTAAGTGAGTTAATAAGACTTATGAACTATTTGACTGAAGATGGACATAAGCAAGTTCCTGGAACAACAGAGTGACAGGATTCATATCCATTAACCTGTGGTGATTTCAACAATTACATTGCACTGCATTTTAGCTACAAAACCAAATGCACTGAAGTTTCAAATTTTCTCTAGGCAGCAAAGCTTGTTCAATTTGCATCAGACATTCATGTTTATGACAGAGAGCTGGTTTAGAGAAAAAGCTTTATTTCCTATGAACTAAGAGTGCCTTGAGACAAGCCTTGAGATATCATGCTAAAAGAGTCCACAATGCATGTACTTAGTCATCCTTTCACATCAGGCTGGAATAACACCAGCCTATCCTGATTGCTGTAGCTGTTTACTTCACTTCTGTCCCCACCTCAAGCAAGCCCATTACTTTTCCTTTCCAAAATTCACTCCCTTCCCAGCCAGTTTCTCTCACATTAAGGAAAAAAGAAAAAAAATGAAAAAAAACCAAAGCGCACTATATCCCTAATGGTGTAATTCTTCCTATAAACACCATCTAAGGACCACACAACAGTTTGCCCCTGTCTGCCCAGGATTTTCTCTCTAATGTGATTCCATACTTGAAGCAGTTCCATGTAAGTGAATTAGCACAACAAATACTACTAACTGTTAATGTTAAAGCACAGGCTCAAATCTCTGCCGTTGCAGAATGTGTGTTTGAGATAACATGCACAACCATTGCATATGTATTGATTTTATAATTTATTAAATATTTTACAGAAAAAAAAATTAGAAGATTAAAAGTAAACATTGCAAAAGGGAATTTTAAAAATAAGTTAAAGCATTTCACATCCTCTGGAAGAACCATATCTACACAAACAATTGGCAAGGATAGAGTGCTGATATAACCAGGGAAAAGAAGGACACAGCAAGTGGTATCAGAATCCAGCGGCTAAAGTTGTTGCATCTATATGGAATCTAGATGGTTCTAGATGGGAGAATAAAGGAGGAGGACTAACCTGTAATGAGACCTAGTTACCTTACCAAAAAAGTGACAAAAAAGTCTCTTCACAATAAATTCACAATAAAAAAACACATGAAAGCATGTTTTACACATTTTATTCATATTTTTCAAAGCTTTTTAATACTACCCAATGAATGAGGCTACCTCTTGATGAACTCTATCCTTGCCTGTTCCTTTGCATCATTAAGATGTGTTAGAGAAACAAAAGAGTAAATGTGGGTAATGGTGTTTCCATATTGGTTTCTATACTAGTGTCTTATTCAGAAATGTGACATTTCAAATGAATAGCAGATTTTCTATTGGATGTTAGGTTTCCAAGAAATTAGCAACTGGGTAAAAGCTGGATTCAGCTTTCAGGTGAACATTTCATGCTGAGGATCAGCCTTTCTCTGAGTCCTAGATTGAACCAGCACGAGGATGGCAGGAAACCTTTGAAAAATATGAGTAAAATGTATAAAGCATGCTTTCATGTATTTTTTTTATTGTGAAGAGACTTTTTCTGTCACTTTTTTTGTTAAGGTAAAAAGCTCTCATTACAGGTTAATACTCCTCCTTTATTCTCCCACCACCATCTGGATTTGTTATAGATGCAACAACTTTAGCCAAAAATGAACTTGTGTCTAGGATGTGTCTCTTCACTTTGAATTACTTTATGTACTGAAGGGACACAATTTTTCCAATGATTCACATACACCAAATCACTGTAAGATTTATTTCATTCTAAGTTAGATTATGTGACTCCTTGAAGGGGAAACGAGTGGCAGGAAGTTGGAGGGAAAATTAGCCTGTACAAAAATGTCCTGATAGCTTTAAGGCCTTTTTAAATATAACAACACCCCAAAGACTGCTGAAACAAATACTAAATATTGTAACAGTTGAACATTAAGATGCCCTCTTTAGAAAAAAAAATTGCCTTTGGTGATAGCACAAGGAAGTCTACTTGAAGTATCCCTACAGATGGTTTAAATATTAGCTATGAAGCCTAAATTCCTTCCTTTGATATTTCCTCTGCCAGTTACAAATAGATAAGCCTGGCTGACCAAGTCCTGTAAAGGAATAAATATAAAGCATACCTTAATTTTAGATGACTCTTCAATTCAACATGACTTTGATTTCTAAGAACAGACATGAAAGTGAACAAGAAGGTTTAGAAGAACTTACAATGAAGGCACTGAGGGCACGCCCAAATCCTATTGAACACTCATTGACACAATCCCCACACCCTTTGGTTCCTTTCCATCTCATGTGTTTCAGCCAACAAACAGTCAAATTCCTAGCTGGAATACTATCTTCCTTTTATCTCTTCTGAATAAGGACCTAGCTGAATCTGAACCTCATAGAACTACTAGTTGTATTCAGATGGCAGCACAGACAGTAAATGAGCCAGTTCTGCTCTCTCTTCAGCAGGAGGCT